CCTGCCCTGTCCTGTTGCCCTGTTTTACTTTGCCCTGTCCTGCCCTGGTTATAAGGCGCAAGAAAATTTTTTGCCCTGCCCTGCCCTGCCCTGAGGACAGGGCAGGGCGCCCTCAGGGCTTACAGGCTGATCTTATATCTGGAAACATGATTGATAACTTAAGAGCTTCCTAGCATGAGGAAAGTTTCAAGATTCCTCCTCTTTTCTGTACCAACACTTTATTTAAATTATTTCAAAACACTGTTACAACCTGGCAATACAATATCCGAAAGAAAAAATATGTATCTATCAATAAGATTAATAGAAATACGATAAGAAAACCTGGAATATCTGTATGGGACGTAAAAAAAAACAAATGAAAATGTTTGACATAGAAAAGAAATTGTTTCATGTACAAAAGTGAAAATGTTTTACGTAAAGTAAGTGTTACACGTAAAAAACAAAGAAGAAAAGTGTTTCACGTAGAAAAAGAAGAAGTCTTTAACATAATAAAAAAGAAAATCAATATAGAAAGAAATAAGCACCACGAAGAAAATGTTTGACATAAGAAACAAAGTGTTTCACGTAAAAAACAAAGAAGAAAAGCGTTTCACGTAGAAAAAGAAGAATAATTTTAGTGTAGGTACAAAATTTACCAGGGCAAAAAAAATTTGCCCTGTCCTTCCCGGTACTTTTCACTGATCGCCCTGCAGGGCAAGCAGGGCAGGGCAAAAAAAAGCTTTGCCCTGTAGGACATGGCAGGGCGTCAGGGCATCAGGGCAGCCCTGCTCTGATGACGGTCTCTGGTACCAACTCGAAAAAAATCTCGATTTCGCTCTCTCTTGCGTTCTGCTCTCGATAACCAGCTGAACACAAGTTATATATTCATTCGTTCAGTGCGAAAAAAAAATTTTCGAAAAGAAGAATACACTCGCTCATGTGCACACACAGATGATTTGTATCATGTAGGAAGATATCAGAACGCAAAATTTTTTCTTTCCATTCTCCATGTCATCTACGAGATGACATGCTGTAACGAAAGGGTTAAAAGCATATGTGATGCGTCTTGACAATTGCTATAGTTTTGAGATATCATCGCATGCAAAACCTAGATTTTGGAGAATTAATGCCATATGGCTACAGAAGTTGATCATGACGTTTCCTTGAAGACATTGGCAACACCATTCTAGAACAGTATGGTGATTGTATTGGATAATAGCATTATACGAATTTCTGTTTGAATGTCTGAGTTGGATTGTTTCCTGAAAAAAACTGTGTTTGTGTTGACATCATAATTTGAAAGGGTAGAAAAATTAGACGCTGCTGTAATAACTTGTATTCTTTTCCAATCTTTCCTTATTTGAAATTCGCTATCATCGAGCTTAGTTTTGAAGACGATCTTTTTATACTTTCGTTCAAGCATCACTAGAGAAATTTGATCACGTTTGATGATATCATAAATAAAAGGTGAGCAAGAGGCATTTATAATTGCATAAACGACTCGAAGATAGTCATAGACATAAGGCAGAGATGAGTTCAGTACGATTCGGTAAAAACACTTTAATGGTTTCATTCTTCCATTCACACATTCTGTGATTCAACGAATTTTTGCTATGTATTTCTTTTGATTTGTTTCAGTTGTTGATTTTTGTTTTTGCCTCTTGACAGAAAAGATAACATATACACATTGAACCTAAAGCAATATATACGAACAAGAACATATCGAAAGCCGCGATCTACCACGATAGTATCTCCTGCCATTAGCCAGTTTAACATACCTTCTTCAATAGTACACGAAGTAGGCCATAGTATTTGCGTTATTGTTATATCAATTTGAAAAATTAGATAAATTGTCGAACATAAGTACTCATCTGTAGCAGAAGACATGGATTTTATGAGTGCGCATGATTTACGCATACTAAATAATATACGTCGTAATAGATTACACTTACTTTTTTTTGACAATATACAGATGTTCCATACAAAGTAGGGACGACTGAGTCTTGGTCACCAGTGAGAAGATGTTTCACCAGCGGTTCTTATGTTCTTGAAAAGTCTTCTTCTCGACTGATATGTCAGAATCCAAGATGTTTAGGCACAAAATTCCTCACTAATGGTTGTCGAGTACCTTTGAAAATATGTCCGACGATGCGACTGTCACTAAAAGAGAAAAGAGTTATTAATCATTCATTGTTTAGGCCTAACCTAAGTTTTGTAAGAAGACAACCAACTGCCATTTTGAAGAACCAAGTGGTAATATTTTGTATGTCAAAAATCATTACAAAGAATATCAAAATCTTGCTTGTGAAGACTTGCCAAAGTCCAATAATCATGATCGTTATACCGCGAAGATTAATTTTAATCAGATGAAATAGACTTTGTTGATAATACTAGACTTCAACGTTTTCAATTTGACCGAATATTTTCGAGCACTGACGGCCAAATGTTAATGGAAACATTATCGGTTATTTCATAGTTCGTTTTGACCAATCGAGTGGCATTCAGTAATAATTGTCCTTCTGCAGCATGACTTATTAACACTTCATATGCTATATGATGAATAATATG